TCACTCATCAATAATACTGTAATATAGATTCTAATATCTTTATTATAAAATAAAAACAAGACCACTGATAGAAAGGTTACATAACCTTCTGAACTTCATTAGTGGTGGAATGAGTGGAAGAGCTGAGATTCAAAGCCAGGACTGACTTCAAAGCCTTAAATCTGTGTTTCCAACTGACTGACTCCTCTTTAACAAGCTAGCACTGCCTCTATTTAGAGCAGGGATTTCATATTGAAAGGCCAATAGGGCTTAAGAAGGTGGTGTAAATAAGTGAAGAAGGCGACAGAAAAGACCAGAGTGGCGAGGCCTGAGGCTACCGGGGGAACACGTCCCAGGTGAGGAAGGTGTCCTGCTCAGGGGAAGTGGGTCTGCCACGCTGGACTGTGGGCCCAGCGCCCAGTCATGCCAGAGGCCTCTCAAAAGAAGCTGGAAATCCAGCCTGCTTACGTGACATACTCTGATTCTTTAAGTGTTGGTGAGTAAAATAAACCCTGGAATTACTGCTGTGGTAAGCGTGGGGCCACATTTAGACTGGCACAAAGAATGGCCCCAGAAGCATGCAGAGAGGCCCTGGCATGCACAGACAGGCAGGCTGTACCTACCTCTGGAAAGAAACTTTACCAGAGGCATCCTTCGAATCCACACCATTACCAGTCTCCTTCCAAATCTTTCTAAGTGCCATGCTCTTCCCACCAGGGCATCTACTCCTGCCTTCTGTTCACTCTCCCTAAAATGTGCTTTCCTGCAATCTTCAAGTCAGCCTCTACTCAAACTCTGGATTTCACTTCAAGTACTACCTCCTCAAATGAAGTGTTCCGACTCCCACAGAAAATCCTCCAACTTTAGGTTCTCACGGCACAATGCATCTGCACACACGTGGCACAGTCATAATTTCACATCTGAGTGACTGACTGATGTGCCTCTCCTCCAACAGACCATTAAAAAAGCCCATACGCATATGTCTGGTTTTCTTCATCTTCGATGTCCCTGCACCTAGCATAGTACATGGCATACAAAAGCACTCAAGAAATATCTGCTGAAGGAAGAGTAGAGGGAGGGAAGGGAAGGAAAGTCTTGAGTAACAATGTCTTAATCAGCTACCTCCATCTCCTCCTGGCCCCGGCTCTAGGCCCACCTCCAGAGAGCACTGGTACTAGCACACTCCCATAACACTTCAAGCAGGGATGAACACGTTAACTGACCACCAAATGAGAACGAAGCAAGCTTTATAGAACAGGGAATGGGGCGGTTACTGATGTATGCATTCCTGCTTAAGAATGTAACTTGGAGGAGATTGAGATTCTGGATCCTTCTCAAAAGTGAAAGTTGACAGTGATAATATTAGACCTCTAACACAGATACTGAAAATCCACCCAAGTTTACTTACTATCAAAAAAATGGTTTCCCAAAAGAGATCATAAGAACTACAATGTCTGTTGGAGTCTCTTCAAATAACGACCTTAAAGGGAAGCTTTTGATCTGTATGATTTCAGAGTGCAAAAGGTTTCCTCAAAAATGAAGACAGCAATGTTATCGAGAGTCAATGATATTCAGTAAGAACAGAGGAAAGAATAAACAGAGGCTAGAACATGTGGCCTTTCCATGTGAACATGAAAAGCTAGATTGGGAGATTAAAATAAAGTAGTTCTTGATAAAGGATTTCCAAATCTTTATAAATAATAACAATGAACTGTGATCATATCTTTCTTATTCCCTCTCCGGTGGAACCACAGATAAGTTCCTTGCTACTACCTAACAAAAAAAGGTCTTCATCATCTCCGTTATTTACTATACAATGAAAAGCATTATCAAGTGGCATTTTCTTAGTCTAAAACGGCCCCTTTCACTGAAGGAATACATGAAAATATATTCTGATGCCCCCCATACTGAACGGTTTCTACTCCCAAACCACGACTCCTAAGATAGCTTCAATTAAACTGATTCTATGCAACTCTGGTTCTTTGCAGTATTCTCAACAGAAGGGAGGAGAGGGGCAAACTTGGGGTGTAAACAAGCTTGGGAAAGAGTCCATACTCCTGTGTTCCAATTAAGAGATTTATAGGGGCTTCCCTGGTGGCGCAGTGGTTGAGAGTCCACCTGCCGATGCTGGGGACACGGGTTCATGCCCCGGTCCGGGAAGATCCCACATGCCGCGGAGCGGCTGGGCCCGTGAGCCGTGGCTGCTGAGCCTGCGCGTCCGGAGCCTGTGCTCCACAACGGGAGAGGCCACAACAGTGAGAGGCCCGTGTACCGCAAAAAAAAAAAAAAAAAAAAAAAGAGAGATTTATACATTAAAAACGATGAGATTCCTATAGCACAAAATCTGCTTAATCCAGTATTTCTTAAACATTATAGAACCCAAGTGACACATTTTGGGGGAAGTGTCCCAACCCAGGAAAGTCCTCTAACTACTCTTCAAGAGGTGGTGTGCCTCTGTATTTCTTGGCACAATTCAAAAGCTATACTATACAAACTTGTAACTTTAAGGTACCAGAGCTTCTGTTCCTATAATAAACTTCAACAAATTATTATCTTTACAAAGTGTTACAAAATATACTGCCTGGGACCTAATTTCTATAGATTTCAATAACTTATGGTTCTTATGAAATATTATCAAAACACATACCCCTTCCTTCTCTGTAACAGATACAGAAAAAAACTCATTTGTACGAAAATTTTCTAGTCTGCATAATGCGACTTATTAATTTAGTCTAACATCTAAGAGAACTCTGGTGTCTTGAACTTAAAAGACATGCAGATCAATCCTAATGCAGATTGAAACTAATCTTGGTAACTCTGTACATCAACCAGGCATATCAAAACCCTGAAGAACAATGGTAGCAGAGCTGCACGTAAATTAGAAAGGAAGTCACATCTGTGCAACAAAGCCTTTAACATACTCTTAACTGCTTGGTATGTCTGGGTGGATCTCATAACAGAAACTTTCTTCACTGGAGAATGAGGTAGAAAGTTGGTGAAACTTGCAAGCTCACAAACAGGTAATAATTTCAAAAGAATAAAAGAGGAGGAAAAAACATTACACTGAAAGGATAAGTTTGAGATTCAACTAAAAAGAAACAATTATCAGAGTAATTTCAAAGCCTTCAGGTTCAAAGTTCTCAATAACAACTGCTAAATGAATCAGGCCACAAGCAGCACAGAGATGCAAACTGGGCATTAAAATATTGGAAGTACTAACAATTTGACCATTTCTAGTCTTTCTGCTGCGTTCCTACACAGTGTCTTTTTGTGATTAGTTCTGTAAAATCACACACCATAGAACTGTTCGCCTCTTATAAGTATATTTAGGAACAAAGACTTTGATAAGGAAGTAGAGCCTTATCATTCACACATTGTTTAATTAAGAAGCTGTCCTTGGATTTCAGAAAAACTGTTCTGTAAAAAGCATCTATTAAAAACTATCACTGATTTTACCAATCGCTCGGAAGCTCAGTAATGAAATCAATTTCATGGCATTTTAGATGAGACAAAAGTAAAACCAACAGCAGCAACAGTTAACCACAAAAAAACTTATTTTGATGGCTACACCAGGGTAACAACATCAGTTCCATAATTCACTAGGGGAATGGCGAGGAGGCAAGTTCTGTCCCCAAGAAAAGGTCAATAAATAAATCTTTAAGAATTTAAGTTCAATCTTACAGCTATGAGTTACCTTTTGAAGTCAGGAAGACCCAGGCAGATCTCATAAAATGGGTGTACCTAACCTTTTACCACCTTCCCCTCACCCACTCGACTCTGGAGACACTGGCCTGCGTGCTGCTGTATGGGCCTCAATTCTGACCCTGCGTGTCTTTCATGGAATGCTTGTCACCAGGCTCTGGCTCAACTGTCACCTCCTCAGAGAGGCCTCTCTCACTCCTTTCTGTAAAGAGTCCTATCTGACTTATTCACAGCAACAACCCTAGCAACCAGAACACGGTCTGACACAAATACTCATAAGCACTTGTTGAATGAATAATGCGTCCACGTACAATTTCAATAATACAAAAACAAATCTGATGACAATTTAAAAATAAGTGTTTTAGCAAAATACATATAAAGACAAATATCAGTGCAGAAACTAAAAAAAGAACAAAGACTCACAGATAACAAAGATTATTGCATAGATTAGTGGTTACCAAAGGGATAGGTAGTTGTGAGGTGAGTGAAATGGGTGAAGGGGTCAGCTGTATGGTGTATGGTACCTAGACTTGTGGTGGTGATCACTCTGTAGCATATACAGATGTTACTACAATGTTGTACAACTGAAACTTATTTAAAAAAAAACGGGCCCTGGTCAGATCACCTAGAAATAACCATCTTTAGGACATTAAAAAGAAAAAAGTTTGCTAAAAGTGAGCCAAAGGCTTATAATCATGGACGTCATGTATTTGGCTGTGTCAAGTATGCAACTTGCAGTATGACATCAACCACTGCAATCTGTCTTTTTAGAGCATAAAGCGTTACTTTTTTTTTTTTTTTTTGTGGTACGCAGGCCTCTCACTGTTGTGGCCTCTCCCATAGTGGAGCACAGGCTCCGGACGCGCAGGCTCAGCAGCCATGGCTCACGGGCCCAGCCGCTCCGCAGCATGTGGGATCTTCCCGGGCCGGGGCACGAACCCGTGACCCCTGCATCGGCAGGCGGACTCTCAACCACTGTGCCACCAGGGAAGCCCAGCGTTACATTTTAATAACATGAGATATTATGGCAAAGAACTCTCCCAAACTGAACCTCATAACTCCTCACTGACTTTAAATTCTCTAACCAGGTAGCATCCAATCTACTTGCAAGTTAATCAAAACAGCTTTTCTTTACACTCAGTTTAAAAAAAAAAGACACCCATGAATCAAATAATCACCCCACAGCTCTGTCAGCACAACTGGTCATTAAAGATAAATGTATGAAATTGAAAATGTTGGAGAACAAAGATTTCCTTCAACATCTGCTACTCACATAAAATGAATGGAACAAAAGAACCTCTGCATTCAGAGTGACTTACCGTTACAGACTTCAGCGTCATACCATGATAGGTGCCCATAGTGTCAATTTTGAAGCCTTCCGTTTCTATAAAGAAAGGGAGGTTACCATTAGACTTTACATATTTCATGATAAACAACAAACCTAAAGTAATAATCTACATTATATCTGACAGTTCAACAGAATAACAAAGCCTTGAATCTACTATAGATATAAAGTTAAATTACATACTTGTGAAGTTAGAAACTTTAAAAGGAGTACTGGTCTCCAAAATACATTCTATACACACCAATGAGCCCAAAATGTAGAAGCTGGTTAGGACTCTAAAACCATGTTCAATGGTCATATAGTTGGTTGGAAATATCAAAAATTAGATTGAATAAAATACTTTATAACCCCCAAATTATTTAGTCCTAATATTCAACTACAGCACCACTAAAAGCATCTAATACCATGAGACCTCCTTAACTTATAAAAAGCTGTGTTCCAAAATTACAATCATTAGCATATGTTATGTAACTCACAGAAAAGCAATGTTGTAAATAGCGACAGGGACTCCAGGACAGAGGCCCAATATACCTTTCTGTGATGGGTCCGATATTAAATATTTTACACACTGCAAGCCATATAGTCTCTGTCACGACTCCTGAATTTTGCAGTTGTTGTGCAAAAGCAGGATGAACAACATATGTAAACAAATGAGCACAGCCTGATTTGGCCCAAGGAGGTTCAGATTTGGTCTGTGGGCTCTAATTTGTCAACCCCTACTTTATATAATTCGTCCCAAAAGAAAAACATTGCAGTGGATAAAAGAACACATTACTGTCTTTCTACACCATGGATTCAGTACATGCCTTTATCCAGCAAATGAAACCAGCACACAAAATTCACTGTATAAAGACAACAAACCCTTTAATAAACTTAAATGGAGATTTCAGATTATGTAGGAAAAAAAATCGTAAATGATAAACTTCTAGTTGCCTCTAACCCATTTTTTCATGAATGAAGTCAAGATAAATGAAGATCCCAAGAGAAGTTGCGCTGACATCAGGCACCCCTCACTAGCCACCTTACTGATGCGGAAATGGTTCACTATTGAATTAGCTGTGTAGCTATCACAAAACAAGTCCTCACATGCCTACTCTAAAATCTATGCTTCCCAAGTTCTCAATGTATACCTTTATAAATGGGGAAATATGATTTTATATATAGAATTTCCATTCTAAAATAAACTTCTGAGAAACAGAATTAAGGCTAATAGCAGTAAATATTTATAGATAGCTTATTATACATACCAGTTACTATTCTGTGGACTTCATTAACTAGTTTAATCCCCACAATAACACTAAAAGATAGGGACTACTACTAACGCTACTATTAGTATTGTAATGACACACAGGAGGAAACTGAAAGAGACTGCACTTAAAGTAACTTATCAAAATTATTCTGTAAAATGCTGGACAGTATTTTTAGGCTTTGAAGGCCACACGATCTCTGTCGCAATTCAAACTGCTGTCACAGCACTAAAGGAGCCACAGGCAACACAAAAATGAATGAGTGTGGCTGTGTTCCAACAATACTTGATTCACGAAAACATGTACGTGGTGGCACAGACTTGGCCTGCAGACGTTAGTTCGCCAGCCCCTGCCCTGAAAACCAGGCCACAGTGCCTCTCAAGTTCAGCACGGCCACGGTAAGAGGAAGACCAAAATTAAGCAACTTGCCTTCTTTTCCTTTGAATCTTTCCTGGTCGTACCTGTTGTAGGCAGCTGGAATAGGCTGCTTGGTACGCAGTGTGGGATCCTGTAGAAAAATATAATAACTATGAGTTACATGTCAATATTGTTTAAATTGTTACTTAATACTCATAATAAAAAAACACAATAAGGGTATTGTTTTCTAAGCCTTCTTCTTCTCAATATTTGAGCCAATAAGACAAAAACAAGGAGTAGACAAAAGTGGGGAATCATCTGAAGCTGATTTTCAAGATACTATTTACTGCTAGAAAATTACCATCCCTGCCAGGGACAAGGCAAAGGACCCCAAGTAAACGTGCACAAAGGCACAAAGCAAAATTCTTAGACATTGCAGAAATAAAATCGGTGTACTTAGTAATTTCATTCTAATTACTTAAATTTCTTCACAAATTAATAAACTGTCTCCAGTCATGAATTATTTTTCTTTAACAAAAAAATCTTTTAATGCATAGCTTATTGGGCTGACACTTTGGAGCCTTTTAACTGAATTATTCCAATTATTAATCCTTATATTAAATAAATAACAATGACAATAAACCCATGTATCAATGTACAGTGTAAAACTGAAGCTAACAAAGGTGTTTTTTAAAAATACTGAGAAAAACTTGCTAATCTAATGATGTATAATTTAATTCAAAAATACTTAATATAAAACTCAGTCTAATAATCTAAAGAAGCAGATTTAAAGAATATTCCCAAAATTGCTTGGGAAATTCATGGTATTCATAAATACTGAAATATGCTTCATTTCATTGCAACAGGATGCTACCGCTATTATTATTCCAAATAAAAGATACTCATTCAAGACTGTCACTAGGTATACACTTCTATTCTGAAATGCCAAACATTAAAATTTTCAAGTATTTTAATGATTACGGAAACACACAGAATATTCAGTCAAGAAGATAACGGCCGAACTGTTTTAAGATTTGACATAAGTTTCATGCCAGCTGCTATTCAAGATGTCAACCAATTCATGACCATAGGCGCCCTGTGTTTCACCATAACGGCACCTGCCCCACTCACTACCTGTCTGACTCATCTGTATGTCCCGCTAGACTACAAGCTCAAAGGGGCTTTCGTTCTTGTCCCTCTTGTATCCTTGTCAGCAAACTGCCTGACAAATAAGAGGCACTTAAAAACTTGCCAGAAAGTCACCTCAAGTGTTCGTTTAAATACCGGCAAAAATTCACTACCTCTAAAAGGGTAAACACCAAGGATTTCATGAACAAATAAAACTACTAGTTCTTGCAAAGACTGCATTAGTACTCTACCAAATTTTGACATACTTTCAAAAATTCTATATAAAAAGATTTTATTTGCATATTAATTTTCCTTTGCTGAACCTTATGAAACTGGCTTCATAGATTTCACTTATATGTGGAATCTAAAAAAGAAAACAAATCAACCAACCAAACAAAACAGAAACAGACTCACAGATGTAGAGAACAAACTGGTGGTCACCGAAGGGGTTGGGGGGAGTTGGGGCAAAATACGTAAAAGGGATTAAGAGGTACAAAATTCCAATTACAAAATAATTAAGTCACAGGGATGCAATATACAGCATAGTGAATACAGTCATTAATACTGCAATAACTGTGTATGGTAACAGACGGTTACTAGACTTACGGTTCTGATCAATTTGTAATATATATAAATGCAGACTCACTATGTTGTGTACCTGAAACTAATATAACATTGTATGTCAACTATAAAGAAGCAAATAAATACTCTAAGATGTTTTCAAAATTACAACACGGAATAATCGCTTTCATTAAAATTACTACATAAGCAGCAAAACATTCTTACCACAGGTGCCGCATTTGGGGCCGGTCGCTGTTCAGGTGCACGCCCTTCTTCTCTGGCTTTTACTGATTGAAGAATTGCAAAAATATTCTTGGAAAAATTCTGAAACAAATGGATTTTAATTATTAAGTCTTCTTAAAATTAAATATCCAAAAGCAGTAAGTTTATTTAATAAACAATTTCAGACTCAGTTTTCTTCCTATCAATTCTTCCCTACATCATAATGAGGTATGATTACTACACAAGTAAGTAAGAATCAACTGCTACTAGGAAATTCACCCAAAGACCAATTATTATAAACCCCGTGTTACTCACTTATTTTCATTTTACTTAAAGTGCATAACTGGCTAAAAATTCATTCATATTCTCCATTTATTCAAATATGTAACCAGGAAACAAGTTAACATTAAAAAAAATAAAAATATGGCAGATTTGTTGCCTGGGGGCTTCTTAATTCTAAAAGAAATTAATCCTTCTGAAAGAAATCAACTACTATATTCTCTTCTAGGTATAATAAACTCCAGTGCTAATTTCAGACTGCTATAATTTTTATGAGATGTTGAAAGTTTTAAGATACTGTTTGTTAGGACTCAACATGCACTTTTCAAAGTTTTTAAGTTGGAATGCAATTTAAAAATTTAACTTAACTTTTGCATGAACAACCTTAGCAACACTGAACAAAGCTGACGAATCTGACTCCTCCTTCCTTCATGAAATATTCTTCTTTTACCTGAGTCTCTCCTTCAGTTCCCTTGGGGCTCTTCTAATTCTGCCTGTCAATCACTTATCATTTTAAGCAACATGTTTTGACTATAAGCCAAACACCTCGCTTGGCACTCAGACACAATGACGACTAAGAGAGACGTCATCCCTGTCCTCGTGAACCTCAAATGGTTTCTCTTCTCTATACAATTAAGAATACTGTTTCTTTGGCTTGGACAGCTTGTCCCTCCTAATTACTTTTTACTATTTAGGTATCATTCTCTCCTCGTGGTTCTAGACCAAGTTAGCTGCCCTTCTTGGGTAGCATCCCTATAATGTCATATGTCACAATTACTGCTTATTTAATTTTCTCTCTCCTATTAAAGAATATAACCTCTGTGAAAGCCAGGACCAATGCATCTCTAGTGAGTGCCCACCATGTGCCTGGCTGGTAGATGTTGAATAAATATTACACAAATAAACATGTATACAAAAGGAGAGACAGCCTGAAACATAACTTTAACCATTGCCCCACTAATAGTACTTACAAGTTCCTATAATTCTTTAGGACAGCAAACAAATGTCTCACAACCCCTTCCCACTCTCGAGAATTATGGCACACCCTAAAGAGTTTTATTATATAGGTTACAATATTTATCACATTACAAATTTAAACTAAAATGTTTTTAAAATATTAATTCCTACAAAAATGAGGGAAAAAACTATTCCACGTAAAAATAACTTGTTTTTATGAAAAAGTATTTTCCAAAATGCACAAAAAGTAAGGACAAGGAAGAGTGGCACTATGTTAAATTTAGGAAACTGTTAAGGTCTCAGTAGCAGAAAGAAACCTCCCAAATTCTAATTTTCTCATGAAAGTTCGCACTTTATTACTGGCAACAAATACTGTCAGTTCCATTTCTTGAATGAACAGGCTTTCTTCCCTCATTTTTGAAAAAATGCCAAATGCACAAGTGCTCTTTGTGGAGACAATCATCACATTTTGGGATGCAGGAGTGCTTTGTATGCTCTGATTTCATCACAGAAAATACTAGAAAGACATATACTCAAAGGTTAAGATTTAATAAAATCAGTAAATTTTCAAATTTCACCAAGGACATCATTAGTAGGTGAAGAACAAAATGGCTACTAGCAAAGTTTGGTGCCAATGCTTTGATTCATACCAAGATGCCAGCAGTTAACCAACCACTGCTTTTGCACCAGCAGTGAGAAGGTCAACACAGTGACATATGCAAATAAAATCTTAATCCTATTATGAAAATAGTTGAAAATATGAAAGTCAAATTTCATTACTTTAAAAATAATAAAGCATTTCATGAGAGACACAAACTCTAGAAGAATCAATCAAAATGTTACTAGCTATCTTTGTGTGGTAGAATTACAGGGGATTATTATCTTCCTTTTAGTGGTCTCTTTTTATCAATCTTTCAAAGATGAACATATACTAGTGTATGTAAGTTTAAAAGTATGTTTTAAACAGTATTATAAAATCAGTCTGCCTTTTTGTAGGGTGTTTGAAGTGGTAATATAACTACAAAAGTATGTAGTTACATTTTTCATGGAATTTTAAACCTGTCTTTTATTTCAGAAACTCAGAAAAAAAGAAAGTCCTGATACCTGGGTAATAATGAAGATCTGTCAAAAATCACAGGGCCTTTCAGGGCTATAAGCACCTAAAAAGGTTTTTTTAGAGGGTTTATTTTAGAGTTTTGCAGATGAGAACAGTATACAGAGAGGGTTTCAGTTAAAATTGTTGCTTTTGACTTTTAAAAATGTTCATACTCATAGAAACAAACCTAGCTACCAAACAGTTCTTCTAGTATTAACTTATTTTTAAAATTACACATTGGTGCCAACAACAGTAAATTATATTAGAACACTAAGTTTTGAAATGATGGTACAATCCTGCCACCTAGAGCTCAAAGAAAATTGTTCATTTCAAACATTACAATGAACGTTGGTAGAACAATATAAGTAACAATATTTAACTATTAGCCATACTAGGCAGTAAAAATGCGTATCAACAGATCACTTTATTTTAAATACAAAAATGAAAGTTTACTCATGTTCTCAAATTTCTCTATAATTCTAAGCTCTGGAGAATGATTCTTAACCTTGACCTCAAGTACTTTGTAAAACAAGTCAAAGTACAAAAGAAAAAGAATTCTTTCCTTCATATATTCTTTTCTAGTAGCTTTATTCCTACTAAAATGGCACAGTAAACTTAAGGCCAGAATCCAAAGAAAACCAGTCTGCCTGGACCAATGTTAAAGTTCACTTTCATCAGTAATCTCATAACTTCTATAAACCTTCTCACCAAATCACCACTGTGAACTGCGCATCAGTGAAGAATTAACATTTAAGGGAAAATTCAGATGTGTGGGAGGAAAAGACAGGTGAAAAGAGGTAAGTGAAACAGAATCAACGCAACCTTTTTGGAGATGTATTAAGATACTAAACATCCAGTATCTTTCAACTTATCTTTCAAAATTTAAAGTACATATCTCCTTTAATCAGCAATTCACTTCTAGGAATTAATCCTTTTGCTAAATAGACATAAATGCACAAAGGTGTATGAACAAGGATGTTTTTTAATGCAGTTTTGTAATCATGAATAGGAAGGGAATAGGAAGGGAAGGAGACAGGGAGAAGGGGAGGAGGAGGGAGGAAAGGGAAGGAAGAAAACCCACAATCCTGTAGCAAAAAACAAAACAACTCCATTAATAAGGAATAAACATCCACCTAACAGACTATAATGTATCAAACACACTCAATACACGTTTGCTGACTGATTTTCGTTAAGTTCTCTACTTCGTGAGGAAAAAAATTAATAACGGTATTAATGATCAGAGAGCTTGCCATCAATATTCCTAGTTCATTAGGTTTAAGCAAAAATCTCATCAACAAGAAAACTGTAGATCTCTTTGGATTTACAAATGAGGTGAAAATAAAGGGACTCGCGCTTTGAATCAGACTTTTTCATCAGCCTCTCTGGTGACCAACAACCAAACACATGCTAGAATGGAATGGTAAATATGGCCCCTTAGAAGTCTACATTATTACCGATCTGTCAGATATAAACTTGAAACTTCCTCCTCATGGGAAACTTTAACCAGTTTTATAACCAACTGTAGATGAAACACACACACACTGACTCTAACGAACAAATAAAATATTTCAATTACCTTTCCTGTGCTCTGTAAGATAGTTGTTCGTGTCCTCCACACCCTTTCTCTGCTGACAATATCTCGGGTCACGTCTACTTCAGCATCCACAAAACTCCTCTGTTTTAGGGCAGTTATATCATCATCTAAGTCAGTCTTGATGGTAGATCGTTTCTTAGCCATAATTTTGGCTTTGATTGCAGCAATTTTTTCCACTGACATAGCTTCGGACAAAGACCTGAAAGCAATTTCTTTCTTAATATTCACAGCAAGGATCTCTTAAGCACATCATAAAATATTTTGTGACATTTTTAAGTTCCTGGTAATAACACTATAAGTGGCAATAATTAAGCTTTCCTTCTTATATATAAAACTGACATGTTTGATAATTTATAACCATGTAAGAAAGAGACCCTATAGAAATATTGCACTATAAGCAAATTAGTAATTTCTTAGAAGGAACAATGCAAAAAATTTTTCACATTTTTTTTAACCTTTTGCCCTCCCAATCAGAGATTTTGCACAAGCTGATCACATACCCTGGGACACCCCTCCCTCACCCTGCCTTTAAAACTACTTTGCTGAAACCCTTCGGATTGTTTGGGCTTTTTGAGCACAAGCCACCCGTTCTCCTTGCTTGGCCCTGCAATAAACCTTTCTCTGCACTTCCCCCCACCCCCCAAAAAAGCCCTTTTCTATGAGACTTTTACTTGCTAACCCTCCCTCCCACCCATGCAAATTATACAAACACACACACATATGTGAGCATGTGCATGCACCACCCTGGAATGGGGGTAAAAATTTTTCATTCTGTGAAGACTTCACAGTTTAGGTTTTCCTTGAAACTTATTTCAAGGTTTCAAATCTATATGCTACAATGTACAACATATCAATTTTATAGATGACAGAGGCTTTTTTATATGCCACATAAACATATACTCCTTTTAAAGCCTAGAAGATAAAACAATATTTTGAAATTTTCTTTTTCTTTCCTTTATTTTCAAATAACATGTGAAATAGAAAACAGAGCCTATGCTTTCAGAACTATTTAGAAAACAAAAAAGACAACAATGAAAGTATAGATTTCATTAAGATCACAATCTTAAGCTTAGTGTCATTTTTCAAAATGTAAAACAAGAAAAAGAGTTTGGATACCTTAACAACAGTTGATAAAATTATTAGTCTAATCACAAGATGACAATCTTGAAATACGTTTAAACAACATGTGGGAAAAGGACAGGAATTCCTGCAGGTTTAAACATGGTAGTATTACATAGTATGTATTTTATTTACATTAGGTATGAAAGTACTTGCTCAAAGTATATGCTCTATATGCATTAGTATTTGACTCATTTTACATAATAATACACAACTTTCCCTTAAAATCTAAAGCATACCAGCATACCTTGAGCCAAATACTTTTCTAAACTATAATCAAACGTGCATTGGACATTCAATCATTGGACTTGTACTTCCAGCCAAGATGAAGTAACAGGGACTGGATTAACTCTCCTGTCTTGAAACAACCAGTCAAAATACATGAAACAATAGTTTACACAATACATGACATCAAGCAATGAAAGACAGTGATCTCTGACAAATGCAAACTAAATAATTAAGTCCTATGAAAGCTGCAGTTTATGGCCTTGAAAGTTTCCAACATGGCAGAGGGAGGAGAACCCAGGCAAAACAGTGTATTTCCTGATCTGAGAAAATGGTGCTGGGATTCTTCCATATGCAAGAACAAGGCGTATGGAAACTCACAGGCCAGAGTACCTGAGAAGAGAGAGCTGCACAGAAGGTCCCCCTCGAGTATTCCAGCAGAATACTGATTAGCACATAAACAAGTGGAAACTAAAGCTAGGAACAGAACCACCAAGAGTGTTAGAGGGAACAGTGTCCAGCACTCACTCAGGATGAATAATAATACCTGTTGCCACCAGCCAGACTGAAAACCTCATATTCCTGGGGCATTTAGGTAGAGTACTCAGAATGGTCTTGACTTTGCAATGGTGGGGAATAACTACTCTAAATTAACATTGTTCAAATAACAAAGCTTAAAATCAAGACTCAAAAGGAAAAAACTGTTTCCAAGTGATTTAACTGTGTCCCAAAACAAAACTAAAGAAAATTTAGAAGAATACAAAAACATCTAGCACTCAACAACATAAAATGCAAAATGTCTGGTATCCAAAGATTATAAGGCATATAAAGGAACAGGAAAATACAAGCCAAAATGAGGAGAAATCTAAACCAAAAACACTATAAACTGACACAGACGTAGGACTAGCAAACAAGACATTAAAATAATTAATGCAACTATTCCATATGCTCAACAAGTAAAGACATGGACTGCATATTTAGCCACCTTGTAGAGATAAAAAAATACAATGTTGGAGACTACAAATGTAATGTGAATATAATTACAGAAGAAAATATTAGTGAACTATAGAAATTATCCAAAATGAACAGAAAAAAGAATCCAAAAAAAGAAAAGAACCCAAGTGAGCTGTTGGACAGCTTCCAGCAGAATACGAGTAATTAGGCCAGAAAGAGGGAAAAAGAAAAAAATTTTAAGAAACAATACCAAAAATTTTCTAAATTCAATGAAAATTATGAACCCAAAAATCCCCTCAAAAAGCTCAATGGACCTCAAGCACAAGAAAGATGAAGAACACTCCTCCAAGTCATGTGATAATTACATAACTCAAAACCTGCAATACAGAAAATTTTTAAAGTAGTCAGAGAAAAAAGGGCACATTTAAAGAAACAAAAATAAGGATGACAGATTTCTAATCAGAAACAATGCAATCAAGAAGGCAGCAGTACAACATCTGTAAAGTACTTTAAAAAGACGTAGCTTGGAATTCCATATCCAGTGAAAATTAAAAAAAAAAAAGGAGAAATAAACTTTTTCAAAAATAAAAATTAAGTTGAAAGAATCACTAGCAAACCTGCACAAAAATGAAATGTTAAAAGAAGTCTTTTGTGGGGTGGGGTGAGAAGTCTTTCCGGCAGAAGGAAAAAATATGGGTACACAGGTCTACAACAGTAAAGAAGAGGCATGGAAAGGGTATATAAAATTTTTTTCTTATTTAAATCTCTTTAAAAGATAGTTGTTTAAACAAAAATAAGAACGATGCATATTGGTGTTTATAACACACGTATGAGTAAAATATATGACAGCAGTATCACAGAGGCCAAGAGGAGGGAACTGGGAGTGCCTTCTAGCTGAGGCTCCGTGCTTACTCACACGGTGATGGAGCACGGAAGGTGGACTGTGACCCTAGCAACCACTCAAACAGGACAACAGCATAAACTAATCAGCCAACAAAAAAGACAGAAAGGAATTACACCATGTATTCATTTAATCCAAAATTAAATGAATTTCCTTTTTGGGGGACAAAATTTTAGTCCCCCAAAAAGGAAAAAGAACAAAGAGACAAACAGAAAACAGCAAATTAAAACTAGAATTAAGCATATCAATAATCATGTTAAATGTAAATATTTAACACATGGTACTTTACAGAAAAAGTTTATTAATCACTGCTATAAACCAACAAAAGATTTCATGATAAACGAGTGGCTTGGATTATAGAGTAATTTTTAAAAAGGAAAGATCAATATGGTAACAGAATCAAGAAGCTTCCAGAAAGCATAAGTAGCACAATGGCTTCCAATCCTCCCATCATAAAACATGCTCAAGTATCTTCTGAACTGAAGGCAATGAAGAACACATGTAGACAGCATACTAATATCCCTTTTTTCCATGTATACTTACATATACCTAGACTGTTCAGTTTCTACTAAAGAAATTCTTACCTGATCTGTTCAGTCTGTACAATCCCTTCTTTGTGACCCTCCAAACGAGCAGCCAATCTCTCTTTATCAAGGCGTACACACTCTTCATCCTGAAAATAATCACTCAGTGAATATTTTAAATTTTTATTTAACTTGTAGAACAACAACAACAAAAAACACTGCACATAACTTTTCCTTACCCAAGTTCCCACCTATAAAGTCCCAGGTATCACTGGCCTTTGGTCAATTTTAAAATATTTTTAGTTAAATAAAGACAACAATAATAAATATATGTTGGATCATGTAAGATTAAAACTGACTAAAAGCTTACAAATAAACTTTAGTTTTTTCTATGATTAAGTGTTCTTCCCATAACATATCATAGCAACTTTTATTCAGAAAGATAACATACAACAAATAAATTCCTTCTCTTCAGGGAAGTGTGTAACTAAATTTTATCAGAAGGCTTTGCCACAGTCAAAAATTTCATTTTGGGTCTAGATTTTTTTTATCTGTTGCCCCAGGTCCTGAATCTGTCAGCACAGAACAAAACACCAGAAGTGAAACTTTAATGGTTTTCAAAGTGTGTTCCTCAGAACATCAGGAGCTTCCTACAAAGTGCCCAGGAGCCACTTCTTATCTGAATTCAACTTTGGTAGCTCGACTTTTACCTCATTTAGATATTAGAATATCAGGTAAAAGTCAGTCTGAAAAGTGTTCGGTTACTTAAAAACAAAACTTACTAATTCTGATCTAGTTCAATGCCCACATTCAACAGACAAGAAAACTGAGAACCAGAGTCAGCGTCTATGGCTAACAAATATGAAATTGTATAAAAACCATCAGTACGTTCAAGAGGTCCAGAGAGATGTGCTCCAATTGTGTTCTAACCATGTAAAACTCGAAACAGGCATATTGCTGAGATGAATGCAAAGATTAATATTTTAACAAGCACATTAAATTCTTTCCATTTGTAAGAATGATTTAACACGTATTACTCAAGTTCCTTCGGAAACTGATTTTTTTTTTTTTTTTTTTTTTGCCGCACCGTGTGCCTTGTGGGGATCTTAGTTCCCCAACCAGGGATCAAACATGGGCCCTCAGCAGTGAAAGCAGGGAGTCCTAACTATTGGACTGCCAAGGAAGTCTCAGGAGACTGATTTTAGAGACAACTGCAGCCTAGGTTTTAACCAGATCCTAAGGTTTCTCTCTGCTAGCATAGTGCCCAGCAGGTCCTCAATATAGATCTGCTGAACTGAAAACTGTTTATGTAATGTATCAATAGCTATTTATGTAATTTATTTTAGCCCTACAAATGCTCTGGAAAGCATTTTATGATGCTATTTCTTGCTGGTTTCTAAAGTTACCAGATCCTAGCAATTTTGCATTTCTGATATGTTCAATTTTTTTTCAAATAATTAAACCATGAAGTTCACGTTTTTCCAACTAAATGGTATCTCTAAATTCACTTTTTAACAAAATTTATTTATTTTTGGCTGCGTTGGGTCTTCGTTGCTGCGTGGGCTTTCTCTAGTTGCGGCAAGTGGGGGCTACTCTTCGTTGCGGTGTGCGGGCTTCTCATTGTGGTGGCTTCTCTTGTTGCGGAGCACGGGCTCTAGGTGCGCGGGTTTCAGCAGCTGTGGGTCGCAGGCTCTAGAACGCAGGCTCAGTAGTTGTGGCGCACGGGCTTAGTTGCTCTGCAGCATGTGGGATCTTCCCAGACCAGGTCTTGAAGCCATGTCCCCTGCATTGGCAGGCGGATTCTTAACCACTGCGCCACCAGGGAAGTCCTAAATTCACTCACTTTGTACAAAGTGGATTATAACTTCCTTACACACAAAGAGAGTTGGGGAAAATGTCAGTTCTACTGCCAAAAAATTTGTACCCAGGATAGTGGACTAGGTAGGAGCCACACTGCCTGGGCTCTAATCCCAGTTTTGTGCACCTCAGCAAGTCACTTGTCTCTGAGCCTGTTTGCTCACAGATGACATGCACAGTACTGCAGACTTCAGGAGGTGGTGGTGAGGATTACATGAGTTAATGACATACATAAAGTACATACAGTATCACCTAGCACAGAATAACAACGAGCTAATTATCACTATCATCTGAAAAACATCGTGTCTATGTCTCAGAGTACCCTTACGTAAAATTATGTAATCTTAGCATCAAATTTTGTCAGTGATTCTACTGTATGTACTTACCAACCAACCCTGTCTCTGTAAGTTACCTTTCTTATCCTTAATTGTGGATGCTTTGCTGTTCATGAAGCAGGCAAAAGGTACAACTATTTGATTTTTATATAAGTGTGAAATGACAAAACTTAAGTTTCTAGTAATGTTAACACTACTGGTGACCCCAAGTGTTATTCCTATACTGGTCATTGATATATAGCCAGTTCAGTCATTTCTCAGATTTTAAGTGTGCCTCTAATACATGATCCTCCATTTTCAGAGGGTTTATATGCAACTGATCTAGGGCTTGTTACAAATTTAAATAAACAGTATTGTACTCATACAATTTAAACTCCGAAAGTTTAATTGTCTTATGCAGTATACGAGCTGGTCAACAAATTTTCTTTTCAACGTTAACTGCACTGCTTACAGGGTTCTATTTAACATGAACTACCCTTGTTTACCAATACTAATATTCCACTTGCTGGCTATAAAATGCTACCAAAAAAACATATAACCTGATATGTCAATATTGGAAGAAGTAACTGGAATAAGGACTTCATGTTCACGCCTCTTCAGAGTGGAGTAAACTCCTACACCACCTTATTCCAGAGGTAGGCACAACACAACACAAAGGCCAAATCTGGCTGGCCATGTTTCATAAAGTTTTATTGGAATACAACCTCGCCTGTTCATTTATGCATCGCCTGTGCGTGCTCTCACACTACAGCGGCAGAGTGAAAGAGCTGGACAAAGACTACAAGGCCCAAAAGGCCTGAAGTGGCTGCTATCTGGCCCTTTATAGAACAAGCCTTCTGACCACTCATCTAGGCCAACACTTTCATCGTAAGGGTATAAAGATAAAGAAAATAAAGTGATTTGTCCATCACACAGCTTGTATGTGAGAGATCTTACACGATAGCTCAAGCTACTTATTAATCAACTGTTCATTCTAATATTACCACTTTTCCAGGAAAACAAAAGTTCTGAGCACTACTATGAGCAAAGAATTCTTACTACTACATGAGTCCAATCTCCATAAAAAAACCAAATCAGTTAAAATAAAGTTCCATTACCTCAATTCGCGGTTTTTTTGCTTCTGCCAAAACTTCATCTGCAGCTCGTTTGACTGTAAGGAAAAAAGAAGTAAATAAACATATAGTTTGGGGACTGGTGTTTGAAAGTTCAATATAAACATGCAACAAGACATACCTTGAGTAGATCTCTGCAGACCTATTTCTAGAGGGGCACTTCTGTCTATACTGGCCGATGTTGCTGAAGATTTAAAAAGATTTCTGTGAGAAGATAAATATTTGAAGACAGGTATTGGATATATTTACAAGTAAATGTTCAAGATTTGTTATATTTCTTACTTTATATACGGTTATTTCCCTTAAAAAATGTTTTAAAGCAGGCTTGTAAAAGCATTTTATTATAAGTGATTAATCTGTATTAGAAAGTCTGTAAGAGGACAAACTATTTTTGACCATTTAACTTACAAACTGAGATAACCTGACTGAAATCAACTTCAAAGAATATACTCCAATATCACAACACATGTATGTAAAAGTGTATGTAAACATAAATAAAAACATAAACATATATATATATAAGGGAACAACATTAGAGCACAGCTCTGAATGGGGTGGTGAGAAGTGAGTCACGTGACAACGCAGAGAAACAAAATGTTAACACAGAGGGAACAGCAAGTGCAAGGACTCTAAGGTTAGAAAAGCTAAAAGAACCAGGAAGACTGGACTTCTGAGGGCAGAGGAAGACTGGGAGAGGATGAGGGCACAGAGACAGACAGAAGCACAGTCGCGAAGCTCAGGAAAGGAGGATGGACTGTATTCTAAGTGTGACGGGAAGCCACAGGATGGCCTTGAGCAGGTGGGTGACACAATCAAGTTCAGAGGCTTTTTCAAAAATAGGTCCCTCTGAGTGGTGAGCAGAGGCTACACTGTAGGAAACAGTGGAGCGAGGACCTTCAGGAGGGCTACGCAATGGTCTAAAGAGGAAGGTGGAGCGGGGTGGGCGTACAATGGTAAGAAGCTGTCATACTTTCAAAGGTAAAGAAAGGACTTGCTGATGGAATGGACGTGAGCTGTGAGAGAAGAGAATCAAAGATTTCTCCAGGGTTGGTGGCCTAAGCAACTGTGTGTATAGGGTACCATTTACTGAGACAGGAACACTGGGAGAACAGACTTGCTGCTTCCGTTCTGTCGGTGCGGAGAAGGGAAGGAAGGACTCGGCACTCTATTGTGGATATGCTACATTTCACACGCCTGTTAAATACCCAAGGGAAGATGCTGACAGTGAATTTCTAAATGTGAAGCTCAGGAACACATCAGTGTTGGAGATAAGGAAGCAAGAAAAAAAAGTGAGGCAGACAATGAGTGGAAAGAGAACCTCCAGAGTCTGGTGCCCCAAACACCAAGTCAAGAAAGGCTTTCCAAAAGGGAGTAAGTGGTCAGCAGTATCAAAGCCTGAGAGGTCAAGTTAGCTGCGAAGCGGAGAGACCAAAGGATCTGCTAGTCCTTAGGTCAGTGCTGAGCTCATAAGGGTGATTTGAGTGAGATGGTGAGGAAGAAAGTCAGACTGGAGTAGATTCAAGAGAGAATCAGAGGCAAAGAGGAGGCAGTGACACCACACAACCCTTGCAAAGAATTTTGTAATGAAAAAGAGAAGACAAATGGACCAGTAGAGAGTAGGAAGGTGGGGGACAGGGGGCTCAGAGAACTTTTTTAATGCGAGAGACCACGGTGTATGTTCTAAAGGGAATGGCGCAGAAGAAAGAGAACTGACGATGCAAGACAGAAGCAGCAATGTGCAAAGGCACAGTCTCTGAGAGTGCGAAAGGAGATGAAACCCACACGCAGGGAAGGGGTGACTGGCCCCAAGAGTCAAGTGCATCCACTATAACAGGAAGGAGAAGACAGCATGTGGACACAGCTGCAGGCAGGGGAAGTTTTTAGTGGGAATCCACGATCTCGTCCCACTAATTCTTATTTCACAGGGAAAAAAAAAAAGCAACAATGTCTATTTAAGAGTGAGAGCAATTAAAAAATTACTCACATGCTTCACCATTGAGATATCCAAGCAGATCTTTTCGGTCAGGTCTTCTAACCACCGGAATATTTTCAGTCTAAAGTCAAAATTTTAAAATAGATATCAAATCAATAACAATTATAAGAAACTTGGTAAAGATCAACATCCTGTAAAGTCTGAATTTTATTCCAACATATCTTGATAACATATATTTAGAATCATGTTTTTTAGAAAATAATTAGGCTGAAAGAACCTAATAAAATCTTGACAATTTTTAAGCATATTAATTTTTGGTAACTTTATCCTCAAAATTCCAGTAAGATATACAAAAGATAAGCATTAGAAATGAAACAATAACCCTATCCTCTTTGAAATACCGATTACAGTCTTTGTTGTCCCTTGGCTTATTCTAAGTATTTATTTTTTAATTTTACTCATGATGTTTTGCTTTTCAGGACAAATATCATTTTAGTCCCATTGCTTGCTCATTTTATTCAAGGTTTCCAAAGTGCTTTCTTTTCTCACACCCAAACTAGACCTCCTCCAAATACGGTAACTGAACTGTTTCAAATAAACTAAATGAGCCACTAAAACTATATTTTCATAATTAACAATAAGTACATGTTCCAACAACATATACTGAGGAAAGGACAGGCTTTTCAATAAATGGTCCTGGGAAAACTGGACAACTACATGCAAAAGAATCAAACTGGACCACTTTCTTATACCATATACAAAAATAAACTCAAATGGATTAAAGACTTAAATGTAAGAATTAAGAAACAATAAAACTCTTAGGAAAAAACATAGGCAGTGTGTTCTTTGACATGAGTCTTACCAATATTTTTTTGGATTTGTCTCCTCAGGCAAGGGCAACAAAATAAAAAAATGGACTACATCAAACTAAAAAGCTTTTGCACCATGAAGGAAACCATCAACAAAATGAAAAGGCAACCTTCTGAATGGGAGAAGATACTTGCAAACAATATATCCAATAAGGGATTAACATCCAAACTATATAAAGAACTCACACGACTCAACGTCAAAAAAGCAAACAACCCAATTATGAAATAACTAAGTCATGGGAATGTAATGCACAGCACAGGAATATACTCGATAATACTGCAAAAATTCTGTATGATGACAGATGGTTACTAGACTTATTGTGGTGATTAATTCACAATGTACATAAATGTTGAATCACTATGTTGTACACCTGAAAATATTTTATTACTGTATATCGACTACATTTTAACTAAAAAACAGAAAAAAGAAAATGATTAAAAAAATAGGTATGTGTTGCTTAGGCACAGGGAAAAAATCAGGAGACTATACAGAAAAATGTTAACGACAGTTGTTTACTTTCTACGTTACGTATCTCTTTTCTTATCCTTGAGTGTGTATAAATTTTGTAAGCAGGGGAAAGAAATTGAAAAATTAAATCTGGAAAATGTATCTATTGTGCTACATGAGTAGTTTTCCTTTAATCTCCTATATTAGCAATTTGTAAAGAGGTAAGCAAAACAAATAAAACTGTATACTTTAGGCACCAAGTCATCCTTGGGCCATGAATTCAATGAATTCTATCATTACCACAATTTTCACTACCATTTTTATAATGTAAACTAAGGACAACAGAGTACGGGAAAAACATGTGGTTATGGGATTATACAGTTATAAACCCTTTGTTACTTTATATAAGCAACAATGAACAAGAACCCTTAATATCCCTGGCTAACTGTCTTATGTTGAGTACTGACTGTACTTCACTGCAGCAAACATTCTGCACATGCTCCTCAATGACAGAGATAAACTACATTTAATCACTTAAAATTAATCTGTTTTTAAGAAGTTAGGTTAAAATTTAATTTCTGCTGATGAGTATAAACAAGAGCCCACCGATTTTTTTTGTGCTTGTTTTTAAAAACTAGTCTACATGGAATATCATAGTTAAAATATCTGAATTGATTTTCTTTAAATTACTGTGTCTAAGTATTATAACATACTTCATCATTTGGTCACTAATGAATTATATATACGTTATCACCAACAAAAAAAAGTATGAGTCTATTCACACTAAAATAGGGGCTATGAGTAGGAAAAACTCATTTCAGAAATGGTCTGCTCACAAGAAAGAGCAAATAATACAAAGGAGTTAGGAGAAAACAAAATTTGTAGAACCCTAGACTTTTAGAATTCTGCCCTTTCAATCTGTCAAATATTTAAGAAATATAATAGTTAAATCTTACGTGACCAAAGGTCCTAAGGCCCACAGTTAACAATTACAGAATCAGTTATGTACTACAGCCATTCCCCAGAGACGTAATCTAAACCTATACCAAGTGTCTGGATTATCTTTATTACCCCAAAATGAATGGACTTATCCAACAAAACATTCTAATTAGTGCCTGATTCAGTTTTTAAAGATCTAATATGAGCTCACATAGCTTTATAAAGCGAGATGCTGATATTTTATCTCACTATTTCCAAAGTCTTAAATAGTTTCACCCTACATATTACTTTTTTCAATACATACTTGACACTAAATATATATTTCTTGTTCAGAAAAGCAGTGTTCATACACTCAGATGCAGAAAGCAGGCATCTTTCAAGCATCTGAAAACAAATGAATTTATCAATTAAGTATGAAGAAAGTGTATAAAATTGATTAAAAATTCATTTTAAAAAGCTGTCTACTAAACTTGGTTCTTTTTGATGCCAAAAAAATTTTTTTCCCTTGCAATTAAACTAGATTTCTGAATATCAAGGTCCTTCCACAGGCTCATAAATTTTTTAAAACATCCCTACAAACAGCTTTGAAACTTCTGTTGTTATAAACATTACTCACATCTTACATGTAAAAAACTCACAGATTTAAAAAATATGCATAAATCACAGTGATCTATCTAATTTTGACCCTCCAGGAGACTTTCATATAGATACAAACAAACTTTTCATTCTTCTGATCTAAAACACATGACGGAAGTTATCCACACCAAATGATACCAACTATCAAATCAAAAGAGTTTTTAAATGAATTCTACTTACAGCTGCACGTCGGACATAAACAGGATGAGATAGGTGCACATTATTAAGTAGAAATAAGATAGAATCCAATGTGTAGTATTCTCTGGGTTGGCCTTCCTTCCCAGTCCTGAAATGATTAAGACAAGATTTTTACTCACAATTCTAATATAACTCCTTCGGCTTAATCATATGTATTAATTTATCTACACTCACTTTGCTATCCAACGATGGATTTAACATAGCTAACAAAGATACACGTAGAGTATGAAATTTAGTAAGTGCAACTGTCATTTGGGCAAAAGGAACACAGAAGTAGATAGTGACAAAAAGCAAGAAGTAAGGAAAGCACACCATATTCATACTTTATTACTACAGACTTTTTAGAATTTGGCCCAATTAGGTTCTGGGCTTTGTCAATAGAGAGAGAAACCTAATCAGTTAGACAGGATCCATAAGAAAAAACAATCAAACTGATTAAAAGAAGCACAACTACGACTGGTGCTAAACTTCCAAGATATGTATCCTGTCTCCTAAGTAAGATACTGCTGAACAACGCTCTTCAACACAACAATTAATTTCAGACATTTGAGTCTTATGACATCCCTCAAATTAAGCCAATGATGTAAAACCAAAACTAATTCTACCTGTAATAAAACAATGTCGTCTAGGAGTGCAAGCTCTATCACTGCAAGCACATACTATTACTTGCTCAACAAATGTTAGTGTCCAATCCCACCCTCCCTATTACATTCTCTCTATCTAGAAATATCAACGTGTTATTTAAATTCATCTGAATACCGCCCAATACAAACAGCCCCAAACCTACTTTTCTAGCCTCTGTTTCCATTTTTCCTCTAAATCAATATATTTCAAACCACACACCACTTATCAATCGTTGTACTGTGAAATATAATATATGAGTCACAACCTGGTATTTCTTTATGATATATAAAAACAAAAAATAGAATGCACTGCATTCAATAAGGATAAATTGTTTAATGTTATGTACACGTGTGTATTTACATATGCACAGAGAATAACAGTAAATGAAAATGATGGTATTGGTGTGATACACTGCTGTGAAAGTTTGAAATCTACTATTCTAAGCACTCCTTTCTCACTACTTGCTTCACTTAATGGCTGTCAAAACATTTTCTTTCCAGCTCTCATGCCTTTAACCACACAGTTCCCTCATCCTGGAACACCAAACCCACCATTTCACCCTCAGAGTTCCTATCCATTCCTTAAAGCTTATTCATTTGTTCATTCACTTATTCAAGAAAAATCTGTAGCATGTCTATATGCCAAACACACGTCCGTGAAAACTTTCCTAACACCCCCAGGTAGAAGTGACTGCTCTTTTAAGAGCGGGAATGAGATTCTTATCAAGTTATGTCTTATCTCCTCTACTCTCATCGAGATAACCTCCTCTGAGGCACCGACCCAGCTCCTCACAATTTTTCCTAGTTCTCAGAGTGAACAGCCTCAAGTACTCAACCATTTTTTAAAGAAAAACCAATCAGTTAAAAACCCAATCAGCCCCTAGCTCTTATGGGTGGGGCAAAGAGCTCCTAACCTCTTCTAGTTTGGCACTGCCCAAATCAAGTTCTTTTCCCCAAACTCTTAAAAGTTGTTTTTAAAACCCAATCAAATGCAATTCTGTCTGGGCAAATTCCTTCTGGAAGAGAAAAAACACAGAAAACTCAGAATGATTTCTCCATCAACATTTCACAAAGCTAATTAAATCGTAAGCCCTCGAGGCCAAAAGATAAAAAACAAAAAAATAAAAACCAACCAACTAAACTTCCCCTAGCTTTTCATCAACTCTTCCTAAAGCCCACTGCTCCCACTCAATCAAACAAAATGAGTATGGAAGTTCTGGCCCAGGTTTCTAGCTATCCAAATGAAACACCACTGAGAGAGACATCACTCAAAAGGCCCCCCCAACGATGATCAGACATCTCTCTCTCTCTCTCTTTTCGTAATACATATGTATGTATCTATATTCTTTTTCAGAGTCTTTTCCCATTTACTTTTCCCATTACTCCACTTCAGCAGTAACCTTCTCCCTGAGGAAACTCCTGCCTTCACCTCCAACAGATTCTGACTACTGTTCCAAAGTCACCGAATCTCTTTCCCGTCCTAACTTCAGAGTTGGTTCCCTTCTCTCTGCTTGAGGGAATCGGGAAAAGAAAAAGAACAGATCAGGAGCTGCAAGGGGCCAGCAGAGATAGTTACAGAACAGCCGCGTAGAGAAAGGAACAACTAAAGAACAAAAAAGAGACTTCTGGGCACCCGGCGGTGTGATCCTTTCTACACCTGTGCACGCAGCCAGCACTCGGCACACACGGGCAGAAACAAACCGCCACAGCACCCTCCCCCGACGCTCAGAGGATGGACCGCTGCAGACAGCTCTCCTCCAGCTCCCTCCTCACCTACAAGTGCAACTCCTACTCCTGGGAAAACTTTTTCTCCGGAGCACCGGTTTTCCTCCATCCCCAAAGGGAACGGGGGGAGGGGTTCGGAAAGAGGGGGCCCGGGGCCGCCCAACTCTGCCCCGCCGCCCCCCGGCCCCGGCCGCGCCGGACTCACCCCCAAACCACGTAGTTGGTCTTCACATTCTTGGGCCAGGAGAACTCGCCGAAGATCACTTCGTCCCCTTTCACCACAATCTCCTTCTTCTGAATGTTGTACTGTCGCAGGACGCTGAGCACGTCCGCCATCTTCGCCCCCCTCGCTGCCGCCCGCCCCGGGCTCCGCCGCCGCCGCGCCCGCCGCCCTCTTCGCCTGTCGCCTCAACCCCCGCCTCGGCCGCCGCCGCCGCCGCCGCGAGCCAACTGCAGCCGCACTGGCAGCGGTCCGCGCCTACGACAGCAGCTGAGGAACGAACCACCCAGGCCGCCGAGGACCCCGCGCTAGCAGGCAAGGCCCCGCCGCGGGCTGGCCGCGGAGAACGCCTGATCTCGCGACGCCAGGGCCCCCAGCGCCGCCGCCCGCCGCCAGGGGGCGCCGCGCCCGCCCGGGAAACGCCCCTCCCAGACTCCCACTCGGCGCGGGGACGAATCCCGTCCCGAAACTCGGAGCGCGGGGACGCCGTGCCCACGTACGGCGCACGTACAGGGAGCATTGTCCGGCGCACGCGCGCGGGGCACGTAACTCATCCTCGCCCTCCCGCCCCGCGTGGCGCGTACGCGGCAGGCGACAGGTGCGCGCGCACCTGCGCGGAGGGTCTGAAACCTCCATCTCTAGAGGGCGCACTGGGTGCTCCACGACCCACCTGGAGTGTGGCCAGTGACTCTCGGGTCTCCTTTAGCCAGGATGGAGTTTGGCGAGAGATTTGCAGAACCGGGATTACCTTCCCAGCTAGATCGGACCCGCCTAGGAAATGGCCTCTAGGTCTTAGTGATTAAGCCCCCTTTGAAGGGACGGGTTTGTGGGGGGTTGTTTTGGGGGTTGTTTTTTATTACGTGTTTTTGGTGGACTCGCGTAGTGGAAAAGACCGCGTCCAGTGGAGATCAATCCCGGGCACTGGTGTTTGTTAGCTGCCTTTTGACCTTGGTCGAGTTACACGCCTTCTCACAGCATCAATTGGTTAATGGAGAAAATGGAATTAGTATAAGAAGGTGAAAGCACCTAGCAAATCATCTAAATATCATAAATGTTGGATCTTCCCCCTCAATTCCTTGGGTGGTGACTTTTTCCATCCTGTCCCCTTCTCCCCGCCAACCCCAAAGGGCTACATTTAAATGGCTCCGTTCCAAGATGCTGATAGGAAAGTTACAGAACACGAACTCAATTTATTGATAGAAATTCAATATACTGTGGCCTGTTTACCTTAATTGAAACATATCCCATAGGCCATTTTTTAAAATTTCTCTTACTATAAGCAGAAAGGAAAAGAAGGCAACTTTGTGATTGACATAACCAAATTCTGTTACCTGCTTTGAAAAGACTCGATTCTCGTTATCTGCCCTGCAGAGACATACATAGAAGAATGTGGTTCATTTTTTATTTTTTTTCTTCTTTTTTATTGCGGTACGCGGGCCTCTCACTGCTGTGGCCTCTCCCGTTGCGGCACAGGTTCCGGACGCGCAGGCTCAGCGGCCATGGCTCACGAGCCCAGCCGCTCTGCGGCATGTGGGATCTTCCCGGACCGGGGCACGAACCCGCATCCCCTGCATCAGCAGGCGGACTCTCAACCACTGCGCCACCAGGGAAGCCTGTGGTTCATTTTTCTATACACTCTCTAGCCATTTTGCAACTGAATTTGAGAAATTTTGGCTATTCTGCAAATGTTCCCGTTACTATCGTATTTTCCTAAACTTCACCCCAAACACTCAGGTTAAAAAGAACGTTTTTTATTTATCCCCAGCACTATCTACTCTATTTATACTTGTATCAGAGCACCCAGTACTACTTGACTGCCTCCCCTACAAAACTAAACGACAATAGACCTGTGTCATCCTATCAGAGTGTCTTGTACATTATTTGCCACGTTGTTGGCCCCTTAAAAAAATGTTAAATCAATAAATGTATAAATGAGTTCAAGGAAGTCAAAGGGCCGCCAGGGAAGCCCTAGCCACTGTTTTCAATAATAAAATCCTTCATTTCTGATCCAGCAATCTCATGTCTTTTGTCATCATCTATGAAACTGATACAAATTAACTTGTCAGCTTTCAAGTGCAATAAAATCTCAGACCCTTCCCAGTTCTTGACCAGGAGTTGGCAAAATTTTCTGTGAAGGGTTGAATAATAAATATTTTAGTGCTTGTGGGACATGTATGGTCTCTGTTACATATTCTTCTTCGTTTGTTTTTTTGGTTTGAAACAATCCTTCAATTTACAAAAATCACTTGTAGGGCTTCCCTGGTGGTGCAGTGGTTGAGGGCCCGCCTGCCGATGCAGGGGACACGGGTTCGTGCCCCGGTCCGAGAAGATCCCACATGCCGTGAAGCGGCTGGGCCCGTGAGCCATGGCCGCTGAGCCTGCGTGTCCGGAGCCTGTGCTCCGCAACGGGAGAAGCCGCAACAGTGAGAGGCCCGCGTACCGCAAAAAAAAAAAAAAAAAATCACTTGTAGCTTTCAGGCCACAGATGGGATTTGGTCTGAGTTTGCTGGCTGTTGTTCTTGATACATTTATTGGTCAAACAAAGTTGGGTTTTATGACTGTTTGCTATAAGGAAGACCATACATTATGTGTATCTGTGCAGTATCTCTGTAAGAGGGTGTTAGGATTATTATAGGCTTTGGGACTGGTGTTAGGTAATTTGGGGAAACACTTAAGGATGTGGAGCTTTGCTCTTCTTTGGATCCTGTCAGGAAGCAAAGGTAAACTTATGACTGTGTATCTTAATTTTCTCCAAAGCAGGGATTGCCAAACTTTTTCTGTAAATGGCTAGATGGAAGATATTTTAGGCTTTGCAGGTGAACTATGGTCTCTCTCACATATTGTTCTTTGTTTTTATTTTCTTTTATTTTTTTACTTTTTAAAAATGTTAAAAACCGTTCTTTGCTCAAAGGCTGTATGAGAACAGTCAAGGTCCAGATGCAACCTTATCTCGAAGGTGAGAGGAATGAAGTGAGGCTGAAACTGTAACTAGCAAACTGTAATGACCCCAGTAGTGGTCATTTTAGGATGTGTGTTCAGATATGATTCCTGGGCTTCCCTGATGGCGCAGTGGTTGAGAGTCTGCCTGCCGATGCAGGGGGCACGGGTTCGTGCCCCGGTCCGCGAAGATCCCACATGCCGCAGAGCAGCTGGGCCCGTGAGCCATGGCCGCTGAGCCTGCGTGTCCGGAGCCTGTGCTCTGCAACGGGAGAGGCCACAACAGTGAGAGGCCCGTATACCACAAAAAAAAAAAAAAAAAAAAGATATGATTCCTGAGTGGTCTTGTTTTGTCTTGATCCATCATGGTCACAGAGTGATCTTATCTGAAGTCGGTGCCCTGTGAAATTATTTATATTTAACGGGAGAATATCATGGCCTCGCTTTTGGTATGGATGCAGATCCTGGATGTCAAAGACAGCTTTTCTCTTTGTCTGTGAGTGGACAGAGGACTAGACTGACTTCTTTCACTACTATTGCCTTGACAGTGCCCACCTCAGGTGCCCTCTTAGATTTACACAAATCTAACAAACAGGTGAACAGGTCTTTGTTCTGTGCTTGGCCCTCATATCATAGTGGAAAGTTGGTGATATTGGAATTGGAGAGACTTGGGATCAAACTGCAATTCTGTCACCAATAAGTGTAGCCTTGGTCATGTTACTTGCCCTTCGTTTTTTCATTACTAGCTAGAGATAAAAATATTTCATTGTGGGCTCTGGTTTCAGACTACTTGGATTAAAAGCCCAATCTATCAACTGTATAACTCTAGACAAGTTACTTAAACTTTTGGTGCTTTGGGTTCTTTATATGTAAAATGAAAGGTAAGAACATACCTGCTTCATAAGGTGACTAAGAACAGTAAATGAAAAAATATGTAAAGTACAGATGATCCTTGAACAACACAGGTTTGAACTGCATGCGTCCACTTATGTATGGATTTATTTTTTCAATAGTAAATACTACAGGGTTTCCCTGGTGGCACAGTGGTTAAGAATCCGCCTGCCAATGCACGGGACACGGGTTTGAGCCCTGGTCCGGGAAGATCCCACATGCCGCGGAGCAACTAAGTTCCCCGCGCCACAACTACTGAAGCCTGTGTGCCTAGAGCCCATGCTCCACAAGAGAAGCCACTGCAATGGGAAGCCTGCGCACCGCAACGAAGAGAAAGCCCACGTGCAGCAATGAAGACCCAATGTAGGCAAAATTAATAAAAAAATAATAAAAAATAAATAAATTTATTTTTTTTTAAATAGTAAATACTACAGTACTACACGATCTGAATTGGTTGGGTTCCCAGAGGCAGAATCTTGGATACAGAGGAACCAAGTTTACGGAGAGCCAACTATGACTTACTTGCAGGGGTGTCTGATTGTGAAGCGCCCCTAACCCCAGCATTGTTCAAGGGTCAACTGGAGTTCCCAAGTAAGCTGTTGTTTGCCGAATGAGTTTCTATATGTGAATCACTCAAATGCAGTATCTGACACATCAGTAAATGTGAGTTATTTTCCGCTCTTCAAAGTGCTGTTTCCTAACCTCCTTAGCACCCTGGAGAGTGTCAGGCACATTGATCTCTGTTACTCAGTGGAGGGTTGGAGGGAAGACAACGGTAGCCTTCTACAGGCTCCAGGTCCCTTCCTTCTAGCTCAGACCTGCAGCACTGCTGGGGAATTCTCTGTTCGCCTTCACCTTCCCCTTTACCTTCTTTCTTCTTCCTTTCACCTCAGTTGTCCAGATCACCTGGTCCTGCTCCATCCACAACTTCATAGTCAGTCTCTTTGTCAGTCACTTCTAATCTGATTTCTGCTACTACCATGACCATTCATGAGAGTTTGTTCCTTGAAAGGTAACAATATCTTTCGTCTTGCAAATCAAAGTATCTGTATAAGTTCTTACTCCTTCACTAATGTCCTTTTTTGCTACTATTGACTCTGCCCTCTCTTCAGAAAACTTTTTCCCTCCATAATTCTGCCTACATTGTCTTGCGTGGATTCCAAGAAAGGATAAAAATACAATTCAAGGAAAAAGAAAAGGGTTACAAAAGCCTCTCTATGTTCTTTGCCTCTTGTTTGCAGAAAAGCTGAAGTCTCCCCGACTTCCCAAGGTCACAAAGGAGCAGGCTCAAGCAGTTAATGTCCTAATGATTAGGACAATAGAGTCATAGATTCAGTGTCTGATGCACATTCTGAGTTGTTTTACAAGTACTATAACTACCACCAGAGGACATGACATAAGCTGCTCCAACTTGAGCAGTACTGAATCTATGGCCAGCACAATTCCAAGAACTGGCCTCAAGAGCATGGGATTAAAATTATTGCTCATAATAATCTGTATCTTTGTGGGCATCAAAATAATTGTAGCTTTCTCTGCCCATATATGT